CCTTTTTACTCCTTTGTCTCGAGTGTATTTGACTGATTTAGTTTGATTGGTGTGCGGATTCGACCTACTTGATTAGTTCAAAATGCTGATGAATGGACTAATCTTTTGTACTTGTAGTTCGTTGGGAACTTTTTTCAGCTTGGGAGTATCTACCTTTCATGGTTTTTGGTTCGAATAATGGGGTCAAAATCATTTGGAAACCTGTTAGACTTGGCCTCTGGGGATCTTTTGGACATTCCTCAGACCCCGAGATCTCTTCCAAGAGTGATGACTATTCCTGGCATCATCTCTGACGTTGATGGATATGGAATTAGTGATGGTGATTCAGATGTCATTTCGTTACCTTGCCGCGAGCGGAAAATCATTGTGGCTAACTTTCTTCCTTTGAATGGTAAAAAGGATTCAGAAACTGGAAAGTGGAAATTCAGTCTAGACAATGATTCTCCATTGTTACATCTCAAGGATGGTTTTTCTCCAGAGACGGAAGTCATTTATGTTGGATCTCTGAAGACGCATGTTGATCTTAGTGACCAAGACGAGGTTTCCCAAAATATTTTTGAGGAATTCAATTGTGTTGCGACTTTCCTCCCGCAAGATGTGCATAAAAAATTCTACCTTGGCTTTTGTAAACAGCAGCTATGGCCACTTTTCCATTACATGTTACCCATGTGCCCTGATCATGGTGAACGCTTTGATCGTGGTCTTTGGCAGGCATATGTTTCTGCCAACAAAATATTTGCAGATAAGGTGATGGGTGTGATTAATCTTGAGGAAGATTATATCTGGATTCATGACTATCATTTGATGGTTCTCCCAACATTTTTGCGAAGGCGTTTTCACAGGGTTAAGCTTGGTTTCTTCCTCCACAGTCCGTTTCCTTCTTCAGAAATTTACCGAACCTTACCTGTTCGAGAGGAACTACTGAGAGGGCTCTTAAACTGTGACTTAATTGGTTTTCACACCTTCGATTATGCACGGCATTTCTTGTCATGCTGCTGTAGAATGCTTGGATTGGAGTATGAATCTAAGAGAGGGCATATTGCTCTTGACTACTTGGGCCGTACAGTTTTTCTGAAGATTCTTCCTATAGGTATCCACATGGGAAGGCTGGAATCTGTTCTGAATCTTCCTGCTACAGCTGATAAACTGAAAGAGATTCAAGAAAAGTATCGGGGAAAAAAGGTAATTCTCGGTGTTGATGACATGGATATATTCAAAGGTTTAAGTCTTAAAATTTTGGCCTTTGAACACCTCCTACAGCAATATCCTAGTATGCTAGGGAAAATAGTTCTTATTCAGATTGTGAACCCAGCCAGAGGTTCAGGTAAAGACGTTCAAGAAGCGAGGAAAGAAACATATGATACTGTTAAAAGAATCAACGAGCGTTATGGGTCGCGTGATTTTGAGCCAGTGGTTCTGATTGATCGCCCTGTTCCCCGGTTTGAAAAGTCTGCCTATTATGCTTTGGCAGAATGCTGCATAGTCAATGCAGTGAGGGATGGGATGAACTTAGTTCCGTATAAGTACACTGTTTGTCGGCAGGGAACTCCTAGCATGGATAAGTCTTTGGGAGTAAGTGATGATTCTCCTCGCACAAGCACGCTTGTTCTGTCTGAGTTCATTGGTTGCTCGCCTTCTCTAAGTGGTGCGATTAGGGTTAATCCTTGGGACGTTGATGCGGTAGCCGATTCAATATATTCTGCTATCACCATGTCTGATTTTGAGAAGCAACTACGACATAAAAAACACTTCCACTACATTAGTACACATGATGTGGCTTATTGGGCGCGCAGCTTTTCACAGGATTTGGGGAGGGCATCTCGAGATCATTACAGTAAACGGTGCTGGGGTGTGGGTTGGGGTTTGGGTTTTAGGCTTGTCGCTCTCTCTCCTAATTTCAGAAGGCTATCCATTGAGCAAACTGTTAATGCTTACCGAAGATCGAGCAAGAGAGCAATATTTCTTGATTATGATGGTACTTTAGTTCCTGAGTCCTCCATCGTAAAGGACCCAAGTGCTGAAGTTATATCTGCGTTGAAGTCACTGTGTAGTGATCCTAACAACACTATATTTATTATTAGCGGGAGGGGAAAAGTTTCTTTGAGCGAGTGGCTTGCACCGTGTGAGAATCTTGGAATAGCGGCTGAACACGGTTACTTCACAAGGTAAGTTACTGGTTTGTCTTAATTCTGAAAGTCTTGAGAAACTTTCCAGTAGGAAAGAAAAACTTAGAAGATAATCTATGTAATGCAGGTGGAATAAATCTTCTGACTGGGAAACAAGCGGCTTATCTGATGACCTTGAGTGGAAGAAAGTTGTGGAACCTATTATGAGACTATATACAGAGACTACCGATGGATCCAATATAGAAGCAAAAGAGAGTGCTTTAGTCTGGCATCACCAAGATGCTGACCCAGACTTTGGTTCTTGTCAAGCCAAGGAACTACTGGACCATCTAGAAACCGTTCTTGTGAATGAACCGGTTATTGTTAACAGAGGCCACCATATTGTTGAAGTTAAGCCTCAGGTAAATAAACTTTCTCCACCCCATCTTCTGTTGATGAGAAATAAGGAACCCATAACACAGTGATTCTCAGAAAAATTAAAAATGTCTCCAAATCTTCTAGGATTCATAATCTCCCTGTTTTATGGCACTTAATTGAAGCAGTCCTTATATATCTGGTTTATACGTAGTCTTAAACTGAGATTTTTTTACTAACAGGGAGTAAGCAAAGGTCTTGTCACTGGGAAAATTCTTAGCAGAATGCTTGAAGATGGGAGAGCACCGGATTTCGTTGTATGCATTGGGGATGATAGATCAGACGAGGAGATGTTTGAGAACATATCAACAACCCTCTCAGCTCAATCATCGTCAATGTCTACAGAGATATTCGCGTGTACAGTGGGAAGAAAACCGAGCAAAGCCAAATACTTCCTCGATGAAGTAAGCGATGTGGTGAAGCTGCTTCAAGGACTTGCCAACACTACGAGCCCAAAGCCTAGGTACCCTTCTCACCTCAGAGTCTCCTTCGAAAGCGTGGTATGAGAATCAAAGATCGACGGGATTTATTTAGGAGGAAAATGTGAATCTTTGACGAAACAAAAAGTTCAGGTTTGTACATAGAAACCACGAAAAACAAAAAGAGACAAAACTTTATGTTGCAATTTGCGCTTGTGAATTGAGGCTTACCTCAGGTTTGCACATGTACGTAATTTACAAGTTATGAGCAAGAAATAGCTCTTTCCAATTGTGTTTGTATATAAAATTGTCTTGTGTATGATCTGAGTGTTTACATTGTTTTACCCATTATGATTGTTTTACAAAGATTCGCTATCTCGTAAATAAGATTCTGAGTTTGGTCCTGATCAAAAAAGTGGCACTCATTGGATCATACTCCCGCTCTAATTGTCCATGAGAATGGACCTAGACTTGCCCCTAGGAGCCTTTGCCAGAAGGAGTATGGACCGGGCTATGACCACTGGAGCAGTCGGGTTAAGCAAACCCTTTTGCCCCCAAGCCACCACGTCCCACGAACTTGGCTTGTAAAAATCTCATATTCTTTATTTGTCACGTTTCTCTGTTTCCCGTTATGTTCTTCTTTCCAATACGATTCTTGCATCTTTATAAGTCGATTTTCGATTGTGTTTGACTTTTATTGATCCTCAGTAAATTCGACTAAAGTTCATGGTGATAATCAAAGTTGTAATAGAAAAAGTGGTGCCTGTCTAAACTCAGTAGAACATGAGATTTTATTCATTACAGTTCTCATAAAAAAATACGGATTCATCAAAATATATAAATGCAACACAACACTACTAGGAGTTTAAAAGGAAGAAGATAAGTCTCTCTGCAATTCCGTGGTGCCTTGGGAACCAAGAAACGCGGTAGTGCCTTGGGAACCAAGAAACGCGGTAGTGCCTTGCGGAACCAAGAAACGCGGTAGTGCCCTTGAGAAAATCAGAGTACCAATGAGCAGAGAGTTTGGGAGATCTCCTGCGATGAGGATCGCCGAAATTGACAGAGTACAACCCAAAACCAACCTCGTATCCCCCCTATAAGCTCGTATAAATCCATAAATGACCATACGAAGTAGCCTCTCGTGTTTGATCCATTCCTACATTATAGTAATGTCTTTTTTTCTTTATTACACTAACAAAAAAAGTGAAGAGAGGATTGAATACGTAACTTTACTTACCTTATGGATTTGAGAACACCACCAATGTAAGCATGTAAGTCTTCCACTCTTGGTGTATCCTTCTGTTTCAGCTGCGAATCTTGCTTCATCGGTATACCTATTTGTTGGCATTGGCAAGAGAATTTAGCATACTGAGAATAAAACGAGAGAGAGGTAGAGAGATCAGAGAGAGACCATTTTCAAGAATGTAGACAGGAGGATTTCCATAGCTCTGCTTTATATACTCCAGGACAGCTTCCATAGCCCATGGAGCAACAACATACTTTGTTAAAAAAAAACAAAACAACTTAGTAACACTTATCTCTTTGAAGACTTAAAACTTTATAAGAAATATTATAACTTTATAAGAAATATTCAAACCCTAGGACTGTGAATGCAGTCTACTCTCTACAGAACCAGTATGAAGCTGGTGGTAATTCCTTCCAGCCTTTCCTTCTGGTAATTACTTTCACCTTTGTGACTATTTGTTTTGATTCTTTCTTAAGATTGTGATTGTTTCTTCTGGTTTCTTTCTTTGCAGGAGCAGATACATTAGGTCAATTTCAAGGACCTAGGCTTTAGATTTATGAAAACTCAAGTCAAGTGTAAAAAACAGCTTAGCTTCTGTTGCCTTTTATGTTATTGTTTGTTTGTAAAAGACCTCTCTCTTTTATGTGTAATCAAAGCAACAAAATTTCTTCTCTCTCCCTTTCTCTTCAAAACTTTTCTTTCTCCTCTGTTTAAATGCACCAGTTTCCTATATTTCTTCACATTTCTACAGGTATAATTCGATTCACCACAGTTTGAAATAAAGACATAGGACCATTCGTGCCAGAAGTTTCAATACATGCAAATGTACAAGATTGACAATTACCAGCAACATCATCAAATAGTACAACTTATAAGTACAACATGAGATTTTATTCATTACATTTCTCACAAAAAACACAGTTTCATCAGAATATATATATATATATATGCAACACTAGTAGGAGTTTAAAGATAAGTTGCTCTGCAATTCCGCGATGCCTTGAGAACCAAGAAAGGCAGTTTTGCCATTGAGAAAATCAGAGTACCAATGAGCAGAGAGTTTGGGAGATCTCTTGAGATGAGGATCACTGAAATTGACAGAGTACAATCCAAAACCAACCTCGTATCCCCCGAAAATCTCGTATAAATCCACAAACGACCATACGAAGTAGCCTCTTGTATCTGATCCATTCCTACACGTAGTAATTTCTTTTTTTTCCTTTATTACCCTAACAAGAAAAATGAAGAGATGATGTAATAAGTAACTTTACTTACCTAACGGATTTGAGCACACCACCAATGTAAGCATGCAAGTATTCCACCCTTGGTGTATCCTTCTGTTTCAGCTGCGAATCTTGCTTCATCGGTATACCTATTTGTTCGCATTGGCAAGAGAATTGATGAGCAGACTCAGACAAAATCAAGAGTGATAAATTAGAGAATAGAGAGAGACCATTCTCAAGAATGTAGACAGGAGGATTTCCATAGCTCTGCTTTATATACTCCAGGACAACTTCCATAGCCCATGGAGCAACAGCATACTTGTTTAAACAAATACAAAACAACTTAGTAACTGTATAAGAAATATTAGGCGTCTTTGCATTCGAATATGATAACCTCAAAACTCGTACCTTGAAATCGAAGATTTTTCCAAAATCTGTACCTCCCAAGCAAGCAGAGATGATTAGCAAAAACAAGATGAAATATAAAAAAGATTGTTCTGTTATTGAAAAGATTGAGTTCCAATTCCTACAATGAAAAGATACGCCCATGTCTGAGTAGAAATTTTGGTTCCCGGACAGAGAAGGTTTGGATTTGATGTTTGTGACAGAAACCGCATGATAGTGTATGACTCCTATGAAATCTGATGAGTCTTGATCCAACGATTCTTTTCATTGTATCTGGATAGTGTCCATATATAAGAGGACCAAGCATCCTGAGTTTTTAAGAGCAGAGTTTTTTTTTTTTTTTTTTTGGTTTCTTCAACCCTTGGATATGTCATGTGTTGCCAAGTTTATAAAATTATTTGAAACAGTTTGTGTCTCACCAGCCGGTGTAGAAACTTTTGGCTCTTTGAGTTGCAATGTAATCATCCTTGGAGCTTGTAGAAGGAATAAGCCCTAAAAAATATAAGCTTAAGCCTACGAAACCTCCCTGCATATCCTGCATATTGAATATGGTATGTTGCTCCCTTGTCATCAACTCACACAATATTCAAGAAAGGGTTATGTGAAATATATATTACCTTGTACTTTTGCTTGTATATTCTTGAAGAAGAGGCGTGTGCAAGAAGCAAATTATGGCCTACAATATATTGTTCAGTGGAAGAGTTCCCTGACAAGCAGTTTCTGCCTGGTATAGAACAACGACCAGGTGGTGTCAGCCCATCGGTGTAACCTCCAATAGAGAATACATTAGCCTCGTTGATCGTTGTCCAGAATTTGACGTGGTTTCCAAACTCTCTAAAGCAGACATCTGCATAAGCAGTAAAGTCTTTGCTGCAATGGCAAATAACACCAAGTTTTGTTATTTTATCATTTTCTACAAAATCTGTATAAGAAACTAAGTAATGCTTCATTTTGTTAGCCTACATCATTAGGCGGTTGAGCCATCCTCCATATTCATCCTCAAGATACTGAGGATGATCGTAGTGGTATAGTGTAACATATGGTTCATTTCCTGTAGTAAGTTTACTTAAAAGTCCACTTAATATGAACTAAAACCAAACTTTGGTTTCCAAGAACGGTAGGTCTTACCATGCGTTACTAATTCTTAGATGAGGTTCTTGTAAAATTCTACACCCTTTTGGTTAACAGGGCCTCTTCCATCTAATGAGATAAGAGCTCATAAAATTGACCCCTTCAAGTGAACAAAAACCCGCATAAACGATAATAAAACTTACTAGGTATTAGCCTAGACCAAGAGATGGAGAATCTAAACGCATCTAAGTTAGTGTCCACCATCAACTTCACATCTTCCTGCATAGTCACAATTATCTTAGCCTCTTAGGGTTTTATAAATAAAACTCATAATGTAGTAGTAGTAGTCAGAGAGTATTAAAGAACCTTGTACTTGTGATACCCATCACATGTCATATCTCCGTTACCTTGGTTACCTGCTGAAAGATATGAAGAGAAATGGAAAGATTCTTTATATTTTGATTTCCTTTCAACTTAGTTTTCGATTACAGAGGTACAATGGTTTTATAGAGATTTACATCTAAACCTAGTGTACCCTTGACTGTCATAGCTGGCTATTGACCATCACGTGGCATAGCTGTCGTCACACGATCCTAAGCGCGTCAAAACGGTTTTGCGTTGTCACCTCCGTACCATTTGTCTGTTCTGCTAATGCTCTGTTTTTGGCTTTTGTCGCAGGTAGCCGTTGTACGGTTTCTTCTGCTTTTGCATTGTGTTGGACTTGGGCTTGTTTCGGATTGGGCCTGCTATCAGTCTCTGGGCCTGTGTCGTTGATACTCCCCCTCAAACTTGGAGGAGGTGGGAAATCGACGCCAAGTTTGAATCGCAGAGATTCGAAAGGAGCAGTGGCTAGAGACTTTGTGAAGATATCGGCGAGCTGCAAGTGACCCGGTATATGATTCACAATGAGTTCACCAAAAGCAACCTGCTCACGCACATAGTGATAATGTGTGGCGAAGTGTTTGGTGCGAGGATGAAACGCAGGATTCGCTGTAAGATAGACAGCCGAGAGGTTATCACAGAAGAGTTCCGGTTTCTGAAGTTGCGGAACACCCAAATTTCGAAGCAAATTAACGAGCCAAGTGATTTCAGAAGCTGTCTCCGACATTGCTCTGTATTCAGCTTCAGTGGAGCTTTTGGCGACTGTCGGTTGCTTTCTTGAGCACCAAGAGATTAAATTGTTGCCAAGGAAGGTACAGAACCCCATAGTTGAACGGCGTGTTCCCAGGCAACCTGCGTGATCACTATCACTATAAGCCCGTAGTTTGCAATCCGTTGCTTTGTTGAATGCAATTCCCATTGTTGTTGTGCCTTTTATGCAGCGAAGGATTCGCTTGAGAAGATGAAAGTCTGACACGGTTGGTGCGTGCATCTTCTGACAAACATAATTAACTGAGAACTGAAGATCTGGCCTGGTAAGAGTGAGATACTGTAATTTACCGGCTAAGCTGCGGAAGTAGGTTGGATTGTCAAAAAGCTCTGTTTGATGTGGAGCTCTCTCAGGTTGCAGGGGCAGTGGTGTTGCAACAGGAGAGCAATGTGACATTGCAGCTGTGGCAAGCAAATCCTCAGCATATTTCTGTTGAGAAAGAAACAACCCCTTTGAGTGGAATTGAGCTTGAATTCCTAGAAAGTAGCTCAATCTCCCCAAATCTTTCATTTTGAACTGTTGGTTGAGATCATGAAGAAGATTAGAGAGGAGCTTGGAGTTGTTGCCTGTAATTACCATGTCATCAACATAAAGGAGAAGCATGATCACATCTCTGTTCTTCACACAAATAAAAAGAGACGGGTCAGACATACTACATATGAAACCAAAACTCAGCAAAAATTTGCTAAATTTATCAAACCAAGCCCTTGGGGACTGCTTGAGTCCATAGAGAGATTTGTGGAGCAAGCACACATGATTAGGATGATCTTTATCCACGAATCCTGCTGGTTGTTTCATATAGACTGTTTCAATCAAATCTCCATGGAGGAAGGCGTTTTTGACGTCCATTTGTTTTAGTTCCCATTCCATGACTGTTGCAAGATGAAGAACAGCCCTGACAGTTGCAGATCTGACAACAGGAGAGTATGTCTCAAGATAATCAATACCCTCTTCTTGCTTGAATCCCTGAGCAACAAGTCTTGCTTTATACTTGTCCAGAGATCCATCAGCATGTAGTTTTACTCTGAACACCCATTTGGAGCCTAGCACATGCATCTTTGATGTAAGTGGAACAAGTGACCAGGTTTGCGTTTCAGAACAATTTCCCATTTCTTCTACCATAGCAGCAGTCCACTTTGGATCTTTTAAAGCTTCAGTGACTGTAGTAGGCATAGGATATGAAACTTTATGTGTAAGGAGAGCATACCTTGGATTTGGCTTTACAATTCCTTTCTTCAGCCTAGTTGTCATAGGATGAATAGATTCTGTTGTTGAAGGCAAGATGCTTGAAGATACTGAATTTTCAGGTCTAAGAGGTGATGATGGAGCGCTGTTGCCAATAGGTGAAGATTCAGGAACTGCATCATTTTCTTGGGAGGTAATACTTTGTATAGGTGTAATACATAATGGCTCATTTGGCTCATTTGATGTGTTGTTGCTTGTCTCCCCCTCGATATTTAGAACTGTGAGCTGGTCTTGTTGTTGTTGATCAATGTTGGTTGCAGGAACACTGGAGCTGGTGGTTTCTGCGGCCATTTGTTCTTGTTCTGAAGAAGACTGCATATTTGAGAAGCCTTTTACCCATGCATCAAGCAAAGGCGTAAGAGAAGACTGCTGCGAGCCAACATAAGTATCACTGAAGGGAAAGGAGCTCTCATCAAAAATAACATGCCTACTCAAATACACACGGCCAGTTGGTGGATAGTAGCAGCGATACCCTTTGTATTTCTCAGTGTATCCAAGAAAGATACACTTAAGAGACCGCGGATCAAACTTATTTTGTGCATAAGGTCGGAGAGTGGGAAAGCATGCACAGCCGAATGTTCTTAGAGCAGAGTAGTTTGGTGTCTTACCAAATAGAGCTTCATATGGAGTTGTGGAATTATCCAGCACTGTTGTAGGTAGCAAGTTACTGAGAAAGTTAGCTGTAAAGAAGGCTTCAACCCAAAATTTATGTGGTGCTTTACTCTGGAACAGTAGTGTAAGCCCTCTTTCAGTGAGTTGTCTGTGCTTCCTTTCTGCCAATCCATTCTGTTGTGGTGTGTGAGGACAAGAAACATAATGTTGTATACCAGATTCTTGAAGATGTTTTAAGAACCTGTTACTTATGAATTCACCTCCTCCATCACTCTGAAACGTTCCTATTTTTGTTTGTAAGAGATTCTCAACAAAACTCTGAAACTTGATGAATGTTGAACAAAAATCTGACTTGTGCTTTAGAGGATAAAACCAACAATATCTTGATAGATTGTCAATGAAGATTACATAGTAGTGAAATCCTTGAATAGACGAAACAGGAGCTGGACCCCAGAGATCACAGTGAACTCTCTCTAGAGGTCTTGATGCAACAAAATCTGAAGAAATAAATGGCAACCTCGAACTCTTCCCAAGCTGACATGATTCACACATCTTGCTGGTACTTTTATTGACTTGGATCACCTTATTCTTGACTAAAGACTGAAGAACTTGAGAGTTTGGATGTCCCAATCTCATATGCCATACTTCATCACTTGCTTTGACTTGCCTAGTAGAGTAGAACATCTGAAACTTGGGATTCTCCAATTTGTAAAGACCATCACTTGTGCTGCTTCCCTTTGTCAGAACCTTGTGAGTTACTTTGTCCTTTACAAGAACACCATCAGCATCAAACGTGAAGGAACAAGGATAGTCCTTAGTCAATTTTGACACTGATAAAAGAGACTTAGCTATTTCAGGACAGACCAAAACATCTTTTAAAGGGAGATTACCTGAAGTGGAAGGGAGACTTGCTGAGCCAATATGAGTAATAGGCAAGAAATTCCCATCACTAGCCATTACTGTATCATTACCAAAGTAGGGTTGCATTTGTTGCAAGCGTGAGCTGTTGTTTGTGATGTGTGCTGTAGCAGCAGAGTCAGGAATCCAACCATTGTCGTCTGTAACATCAGTGATGTGGAGAGCTGAGAACGCAGCAGCTGCAGTTTCTGACTGTTGGTAGGAGTCATCAAACCGATGCCAACACTGAAGCGCAGGATGACCTCTTTTACCACAGATTTGACACACGGGTTTCTCTCCTGTTGAGACTGAAGAACTGGAAGAAGAGAACTGTTGTTGGAATCCACGACCACGGGTTGAGAAATTTCCTTTTCCCCTGTTTCTTCCTCCACGACCTCTGTTTGAAGATCTGAAAGTGTTGAACGCCAGATGCGGTGAAACATCACTTGCATTGTAACTCTGAAGCCTATCATCGAACCCTTTTAAGCGATAGACCACATCTTCATAAGATGGACCAGGAGAAGCATCAAGAGAGCTTTCAAGAGAAGTGATTAGAGGTTCATACTCTCGTGTTAAACCATGAACCATAGCAAAGACTTTCATTTTTTTCAGCAACAGGGCTTCCAACAGAGGCTAGTTGGTCACAAATGTTTTTGAGATACCGCAAATACTCCTCCATGGTTTTCCCTTCTTTTGATAGACCATGGAGTCGACGTTGCAGCTCAAAAATCCGAGAAGAAGAGATACGATTGAAATGTTTTGCGAGATTTTTCCATACCTCATAAGATGTTTTAGAACCAACAACCACACTGAGAATGTCTTCAGACAGTGATCCGAGTAACCATGCCATAACCACTTGATCGAGACGACACCAAGCTTCATACTCAGGGTTTTGGACAGCTTCAGTGACGCCGGTGGCTTGTGGTCCGGAAACAATGCTGACAGGAGCTGTGATTGTGCCATTGACAAACCCCAGAAGACCTTGCCCAGAAAGAAAAGATTCGAACTGAGATTTCCAAAGGATATAGTTGCGTTCGGTGAGTTTCACCGTAACACAGTTGGAGATTTTTAGGGACGGAAGATCATAGAGCTCCATGGATTTGTCCATGGCTCTGATACCATGAAAGATATGAAGAGAAATGGAAAGATTCTTTATATTTTGATTTCCTTTCAACTTAGTTTTCGATTACAGAGGTACAATGGTTTTATAGAGATTTACATCTAAACCTAGTGTACCCTTGACTGTCATAGCTGGCTATTGACCATCACGTGGCATAGCTGTCGTCACACGATCCTAAGCGCGTCAAAACGGTTTTGCGTTGTCACCTCCGTACCATTTGTCTGTTCTGCTAATGCTCTGTTTTTGGCTTTTGTCGCAGGTAGCCGTTGTACGGTTTCTTCTGCTTTTGCATTGTGTTGGACTTGGGCTTGTTTCGGATTGGGCCTGCTATCAGTCTCTGGGCCTGTGTCGTTGATACCTGCAATGTTAGAAAGAAAAATCAAAGCACAAGAGAGACAAATTTCTTTCTTTTCTATTTTTCCTAAAGGAGAGTGAAAAATTCCAATACTAATAATAGTTTATGTTAAAATGGAAGCTTACGAGAGTGACAAAGCGTGTCCCACACGCTAGGTTTCCTTCCGTCTTCCGTAGCAGCTCCTTCCCACTTGCGGAGACCAAACATTTGGTTCAGTTTTGTTCAAAAGTTAAGAAAAAAGAATCTTAAAAATTGATTCAAACCTGATAAGCAGAAGTGCCAGCACCGAAGACGAATCCATCGGGAAAATCATATCTGCTGAAATCGTCGCTGCATCTCCCGGAGAAAGCAAAAGCCAAAAAAATGGTAAACAGAGCAAAAATCTGTTCCATTTCTCACAAACACACTCTCTCTTCTCTGTTCCATGTGAGAATAAGTAACCCACTTGCCACTTACCTAACCCACTAGAGATATTTGTGACAAAGAAATAAATGATTTGTGTTAACTAAGAAACAAACATATTGAAACGTGTTGAAGACTTGAAGTGAATGATTGTCCTTCGCCCATAAAGATGAATTATTTAGAAAATGAAATTGTTTCATAAATATAGATGGTTCTTGGAAAGAAAGCGATTGTTTTTCAGGGTTAGGATGGTTTTGTTCTTATCCAAATGAAGAAGCGCACGACATGAGAGCTGAAAATACTCGAAGAAGCTTGACCTCACTCCACACAGAGGTTGAAGCACTAATCTGGGCGATGAAATGTATGATCGGCCAAGACAAAAGAGAAGTAGTTTTCCTTACAGACTGCTCCGACCTGGTGAAGATGGTGTCTTCTCCGCAACAGTGGCCAGCGTTCACGACTTACTTGAAGCGATTTAGAGCGAGAAGGAAGAGTTTGATTTTTTCTCTTTATCGCTAATTTCCCGAAATTTGAATGTGAAAGCGGATAAACTGGCACGAAATGTTCGTATCTTACCGCATCTTTCTACTTATGTAAACAATATTCCTACACATTGGCTAATTTGAGCCAATCCAATAAAGTTGTTGACAAAAAAAAAAAAAAATGTTTTGTATTTGCAATGCAAGATGTGGGTAAAAAATAACGTTTTTTATTTTTTCCCTGTAAAGTTAAAAAAAAAAAAAAAAAAAATCTATACTAGTATTTTTGCAACACTTTGGTGATGGGTGGGTAAAAATGCTTCCGGATATATCGGATACCCGACCCGTTTTTAAAATTCCTTCACAAAAAATTTGTTCGGTCGGGTTATATTTAACCCAACTCATACACCGGATATTCCATATTTAATAATTTAGATATTTAGAAGATTTGATTAAGATTTATAATTATGATTCTCTTATCATCTTTATTTGATTTGTTTTTAACTGTTTTGAATCTTCATATAATACATAAAGTAAAAAAAAAATCAATTTTTTTTTCTGCATATACTGTGATTCGAAATTTAAAAAACGGACATATATTATCCAATTGACGAAAATGTGTGTTCAACGTTCTACATCGATTAAAATATTTAGACAATGATTCAGGATCATATCATAAATAAGAACATTAATAAAATAAATGAATTTTTTTGCCGGAGGGGTTTGGCGGAACGGTTTTTGAATCAACAATAATAAAAAGATTAAAATATCATTAATTCGCCGCTTCAATACGGATTAAATCCTTTTTTTAATACCACAAATATTAGACATATTAAATCAGTCTCATTTAGAAAAGATTGTACAAAACCAAAAATTGTCCTGTGGTCTTAGAGGATGATATGATTTGTAAACTTTTATATATAATAAATAATCATTAAATTTTAAAATAAAAATAAAACACAGGACGGGTTAAGATATTATGGAACAAGTTACATTTCGGAAAGAATTTATATGGCGGACGAATTTGAATCAATATTTATATACCGCTTTAATACGGGTTAAATCCTCTGTTTATTAATAATTGTCTCGTGGACTCGTGATATACTGTTACTTAATAACAATTATAAACTATAATATAATTAAATATGTTATACGGAGATACAATTTACAAAATATTTTTATACTAACTTTAAAATTAAATCATCCCGCGGTGTACCGCGGGTTAAAATCTAGTATATAATTGTGAAATTAAGGCATATTAGGATTTGTTAAACGTTTCTTAATTATGTGCCTATAATTTTTTTTTTTTTTTTTTTGGAAACTCATGTGCGGATGTGCCTATAACTTTAAATATCTATTTTTATGAAAGGAAGGGAGTATTTATCAATTTAGCTAAGAAACAAAAATTAGAACACGTGTTGAAATGAAGACCATATACTTCTGACTTTTGAATTTATTGATTCCAGGACTAAAAATTCATATAGACTATAGAGATGGTCGATCACTCCATAAATTAAAATGAAACTAAAATATTAAATATTTTGTGTTGGTGTAGATTTACCGTATTTACGAAATTGACCTTCTCGTTGTTTGAGTTTTGTGTCCCACTGAGAAAGAGTCAACTCCGATGTTGGATTGGACTCTATAATTTTTAAATCCATAAACGGCGCCGTTTCCTCCGTCACCATATCCTTTAAATTCGTTAACCGGAACATTCCCGTTTTCTCCGTAGCTCTCTCCGTTAGCGGTTTCTCCGTATTTGGTAAAACCGGATTTAACGACGTTTGACCAAAGGCTTCGTGGGCTTCATCTTTGAATTCGTCTGGCCCATTCCGCTTTTATCATTTGCTCTCTTTGGCAAAGCGTTTTGGTCTTTGCTGTTTGAGACTTTCAAAGCCTTTAGTGACTTTGAAACTGTAGTGTTGATAAATTTGAGGTATAGTTTTAAAATGTTTTTTTGAGAATTACTGTATTTGTTTCCGAGTAACTCCCATCTTTGATAATATATATCATCATCATACAAGTTAGAATAGCTTAAAAATATATACAGAAATTCAACATATGGATTTTTTTTTTGTTTATTTAGTTTTGATTATATAATACTAAGATTCAGATTTTTTTTTTCTTGTTGACCTAAAGTTCCAAATCTTTGCCCTATAAGTTCTTGATCACTGGTTTCGTTTGGTGTAATCTCGGGAATCAAGACTAACCAGTGATACTATAATTTTTATTTGATCGGCATTTTTGATCCTAGTCTATGACATTCTTTGACTATTCTTAAAAACTGAGGAAATATTCTTTCTCTCTTAAATCTCTGGCAACAAGAAAGGCTATATGCACATATACACGAGCACACACACGACAACGATGCTCTCTTGTAATCAGATTAAAAAAAAACATGTCAATTTTCTGCCCATTGATCTTCATTTATAGATCATTAGGGTTGCTGATTCAGAAACATGTAGTTGGTTTCATTTCATAAATTGGCATACTAGTCTCTAAACCATAATGAACAAAGAAATAAGAAACACAAAACTCATGAATCATGACCATGTCTGTAAAATGATCGATCATGGAAACCAGAGTATAGAAGTCCCTAGCTAGTTATCATCGGTTTACCTGATAACGCACAAGAACCTATTCCGCTTCACGTTTTTGCTAAGCCTATACTCTTCTATAGTCCAAGTTACCTTCACATCTTTTCCATTACGAGCATATTCTTCTTTCTCCGTTTCACAAAACTCAAAAAGCCTCTTGTAACCAATGGTCCCGAACTCTGCCTTGATCGGCCTATCATGGCGTAAGAGCTTCCAGTAACCACCATCGCATTTATCTCTTATAGCTTTAGTCTTGTTAGCGAATATGCAGATTCCGAAACGTTGAAACTTCTCATCTTGAGGATCCACAAGCTCCAATGGATGCAGACAATACACGTTGTTGGTAACGTAGCTAGGCCAATCGTTTCCTTCAGAACTCATTATCTTCACACAATAAAATTCATCATTCTCTTGTTCATTGGAATAGAATCCATAAGCTGGCAACAGCTCATTACGAAGAGGTGATTTTGATGTAGTGTAGAAATGCTTGGTTAGCAAGAAACTAATCTCAGCTTCAAACAGAAACCGAATCTTGCAAATCACATGATCTTGCTTCCAGTTCAAGTTATTGGTAAGCCTATACTCTTCCATTACCCAACTTCTCTTGTATTCTCTAGGTTTCGTCTTCTTGCAGAACTTGAGAATCTTCTTGAACCCTAGAATCTTCCCAGTCGCTTTCGATTTGATAAGTTTATCACGACCGATGATCCTCCAGCAACCCGATTCACATCCATCGGTTTTACCACAAGCCTCTGTTCTAGGTTTAACGATCACGAAGCTAGTGCTATCAGAATCAAACTCCACATATGGATTCTTGTTGAACACGTTTGCGTCTTCGATGAAGTTAGCAGGCCAAGAATCTCCGTTAACGATCATACGCTTCAGATAACGTGAGATTATTACTTCGTCTTCTGCGTTTAACAGTTCGGCTTTGATTCGATCATAAGCTGATACCTCCATAATGAAACTAAATCAATCAAGAAACAGAGGATCTAGAGAGAAAAAGATTGAGTATCTCTGTATCTGTTTCTTGGAGATGAAGCGACGAAGAAGAAGAAGAGAGACTTAAGTTGGTTGCTTCCTTCCGTTATTTATATCAAAATTTTCGTGTTGACCCTTTTACCCTCGCTTATCTCTCTTTATTCGGCAACTACCCTCCTCTTCCACTGTTTTTCATAGTTTTCTTATTTTCGCAGCGCCTCCCGTCTCACTTCTTATTCGTTTCGAAGACATCTTACTGAAATAAAAAATTTATTAAAAATTAGCATAAACAAAGATATATGGGAAAGAATGAAACTGGTAAAGCATTATTATATAATTGAATATGGTGGCTTTGGAATAAAACGTTGACAACAAACGTGCCTCCAATTTGAAACAAAAATTTGACAACACAAAGAAGAGATCAATCTCTTTACGAGACTTTATGTCCTTCCGTTGGCAAAAATTTATCCCATCTATTATATTATATACGTTTATGGTCTTATGGATTATGGTTAATGATTGAAGAAGCCTTGATTAAAAAGATAAGAAGTCTAAAAGCAAAAAGAGGAAAAACTTACTGTATGAAACCAAGATTTATAAGATGAATTCTAGATTATGTATGAAAAACTGAGGACAAATTGATGATTTGAGAGCAAAAAGGAATAAAAATTTAGGACAGTTGTGGTTATGATGCTAGAGGAAGAAGAAGAATTAGAAAGAAGATTAAACGACACTACCACTAGCCTACATAACAATTACAAAATATTGGGGCCGAAAATATTTATACATTTTTTGGGGCCGCAAGCTTGGGCTTGCCCAGCTTGTAGTTGAGGCCGGCTCTGAGTAAAAGAGAATTTTCTTAACTTATAATTAAACACCATTAACTAATGTATGGAGGATTAACAAAATCCGATATAAAACAAAAACGTATATAATGTTCATTTTGGCGCCATTTTTTCTTCTTCATAGTTTACACTTCTATAGTTGTTAAGCATATCTTTATTCTTTATAAATAAACAAAATACAAAAAAAAATTATAATATGAGTAGGAAAATTTCTTGGTTTCCTTTTAGATAAAAACACTTCAAATTTCCTTCCAACTTGTCTCTGATGAAAACACTTCAAAATTATCTTTACTTTTTTTTATTGTTTTAAAGAAATTAGGCAGGTTCAAAAATATGTGAATTGTTTCACTAAAAATGCATTTTTTTTTTTTTCGTCTGAATTATTCCATTATATAATACGATTGAAGGATACAAGGGTGGGATGCGGTTTTGGTACACAAAGCCGGCAAGAGATAAACTCCTCCAGAAACAAAGCCGGCGGAAAACAGATATATCCCCGGAAACTAAGCCCAAACAAGGGAAGCAGAATAGAGATAACTGGGATCAAAACCCCAAAAGACAAAACAAAAGCAAGACTAAAAATAACTCTAAAGATAAAGACTTGCCATAAAACCAGCTCCCTAGAACCAAAATGATCAAAGCCAAACACAACACACATCTGGCGAATCCTCCTATAGTGAACCAATACTACCTCTCAAAACAAAGTGAACCTAGGCTACCATTCTGGCAAGAGAGAATCAAGATAAAGCATCTAAACTCCCATACTACTCCCAAAAGCGGCGATATCGACTTAGCGATGATTGAACGCCTCATTAGAAGCCTTTGAACCGACCAGACCTCGATCAGGTCTTAAACGTAGAAACAAGGAGCGAGACAATTCTTCAACCGGATGAAACCAATCTCAAAAGAGAGCAGCACAAGATCGAACCGGGAAGAAAACCATAAAGACCACCACAAGAACCAGGGAGCAAGAGCAAACAAGTCCAAAAACCAAATAGAGATCAAGCTAGTCACTACAAATGTTTCGGGTAAAACCATCCAAATCAAGGAAAGGATACTACCAACCAACAAAACACAAAGAGGAAGCAGGAGAGACGAGAGAGGGACTGAGCCACCGAGAACAGAGCCGTTGTTGCTCAGATCCGTGAGGGAAGAGACAAGACGAAGATCCACACCATGAGGCATAAACGAGAACGGCGACTCCATCTTCACCATCTACCTTAAGGCACCTCGAATTCAGTCTCTTAGAACCAAACCTCTCTAGATCTGAGATTCGGCACAACCCAATCCACCTCGCCAAAATCACCACGCTTCACAGCCGAGAAAAGCAAATACAATAAACAAGAGAGGGGAACCGACGCCGGCGCTGTAGGAGCCGCCACGCGCCGGTCCGATCTAGCCAAGACGGTGAGTTGAAGAAAAACGGCGATTAGGTTTTAGAGAGAAAAAGTCTCGATATCTTCTTGATTTGTTTACTACTTTGTTTCAATCAATTAAATGAACTAAAAATGCATTTATTTGGGCGCAATATTTTTTCTTATAACTACCATCTGGAAAGTTAAAAATTATGTTCTTGAATTATTTTTTTCATGTGTTACATGAGAGGTTTTATCTAGAATTTTTCTCAGTGGATTATCCATAATTTAATATATACAAATGTCAATGATTTCACAAAAAATTGTCTTATCTCATATTATTTATTTGGGCTTCGCAACATTATTGGGCTTTGTTTAGGCCCATTTAGAATTAAGAAGTACTTTAGTTAAAAAGCTCAGAGAAACCTAGCCGTCGTCACCGTCACCGTCTCCGTCGAAATCTCCATTACTTACGTCGCCGCGAGCTCTTAATCTTCTTTTACACTCTCTCGCCTGTTTTCTTCTTCGCTACGACAGTTTTGTGTATCAAAGTCCAGTTCTTTATTTTGTTCTAGGTAAAGCTTTGTAGTCCTTGAGACTTTGTTGATGAAGCACATAATCAGAGACTTTGGTTTATGATTCTCTTTATTTTTGTTGACATGAAGCAGAGACAAAAACATGGGGTTACAAGATTCATCTCAAGATTTGTCGACAGAGATGGAAGTTGATGCTTTTAGAAGAATCTTCCCTCTTCGTTTCTTTGAGCGTCATCTCTCTGAATCACTTCGACCTGATGGTAGACAACTTGGAAAAGCTAGAGACACCATTGTTAACCTTGGTATAACAATAAAGTTGATTCTTTTAGCTTTTATCAAATTAAAAATGTAAACTTTATTGTCCTTTCTTGTTTGTGTTATAGGACTTGTTTCAACTGCTGATGGATCTGCTCTTGCTAAGATTGGTTCTACGGTAAGACACCGCCTTTTTCGGTTCGAACTTTCGATAATAATCACATAACTTACATAGTTTCTTGTTTATAGACTATGCTTGCTGCTATTAGAATGGAAGTTATGACTCCTTCTACTGATTCACCAGACGAAGGATGCATAGGTTGATTGTTGGTTCCACTTTTATTGTCTCTTTCTATTTGGTTTTGTTGTTCTTCTTTGGTGTTTCATTTTGTGACTGGTTGATTCCTTTTGGTAGCTCTTGAGTTCCACATGCCTCCTATTTGTTCTCCGACTGTTCGTCCTGGAAGACCAGCTGACGCTGCTCCCGTTATTTCAAAGCGTTTGTCTGATACAATTTTAAGGTTTGTTTTGGTTTGATCTTTCTATTTGTATTTTCTCATTCTCCTTGGGAATCAAATACAATGTCTCTTCTAAAATGTTTCCCTTTTATTGTAGTTCTGGTATGATTGATCTTAAAGAACTGTGTCTAGTTAGTGGAAAAGCTGCGTGGATGGGTTATCTGGTGAGTACTGAGTACTACTCGTTGGTCTTATATCAGTGCTTGTCCGTCAAATGATTCCTTACATCTTATTTAGCAATTGATTTTTCGCTTCTATTCTTCTTGAAAATAGTTCTCTAGCATATATTTGAACATTGTTGCTCTCTAAATTTTCTCATAGGACATATATTGCCTGGATGCTGATGGTGCTCTTTTCGATGCTGCTCTGCTTTCTGCTGTTGCAGCCTTTTCGAATCGTAAGTTCTTCTCTCTTCTCATCCTTTAGTTTGTTTCACAGCTCCCTCTAGAACACCTTTGAATAAAGCTGATTCTCAACTTTATCAATCCATTTCGAATATGAGTAAAAAAGAGCAAGACTTATAGAACACTTAATCTTGCTGAGTGAGTCATACCGGAGTAATATTCTTCCCTGCACAATAGCGGTTTGTTCAGAAGTTGCGTGATTGGTTTTCTGAGACAGCATGGCCTTAGATGCAGACGAATTCTTCCTCTGATGCATCTTTTATATTGCAGTGCAAATTCCAGTTGTTGCTCTGAATGACAATGGAAGAATAGTTGCCATCACTGGAGGAAAAGATCAAGACAATGCTTCTATCACCGAGAAAGAAGCAGTCAACAAGGAGAAGAGAAAACTTACGCTTAAAAACATCCCTTTCTCTTTAACTTGCATACTCCACAAGACCTACATCTTAGCAGATCCAACAACCGAAGAAGAATCGATCATGGACACTCTAGTGACTGTTGTTTTAGATTCCTCAGATCAAATGGTTTCTTTCTACAAATCAGGAGGAACCGCTCTCGCATATTCACCAGCCATCAAGGTGAGAGTTTCAGCTTTCTCTTATGCTAATCCACCACTTGATTTACACCGCTTTTTCTTTCTTATAAAGTTGCCTTGTGGGTTTTGATTTGCGCAGAGCTGTGTTGAGTTAGCAAGGAAGAGAGCGAAGGAGGTTAAGCAGATATTGGGGGAGATGGATATCGACTAATTTATCACATGGAATCATTCCATAACATTGTTGAAATTTTGTGTTACATATTTTAATCAGACGACCAAAAACCCATTTAGTGCCAAAGGAAGCAGCTCTTCACCATTTTTGTTTCTTTGTGTTAAGGTTTTGTTGATCCATATAACGTCTTTTAATGTTAGTGCAAGTGTGCGATTATATGATCTCTATTTCAAACGAAACGAAATATGCGTTTTAAAAATGCTCAACCCAAAATCAATAAAGGGTTTTTTGACATCCATAGCCGGTCCGGCAATTTTAAGTGCCCTACGCAAAATCTTAAAATGCATGCCTTTTTCATTTTTTTTTTTTTTTTTTGACATCTTTAGATCGACAAGGCCCGATCCATAGCAAATCCCTACTACGCGGGGTAACGCGACTTACTGGAGTCGAACTCCGGTGGGG